ATTACAAATAGTTGTTTTTTTTTCTTTTTTGTTCTGGACTGCAAAATAGGAATGCCTTATATTTACATACACAGGTATACAATTAATTATAACAAAGGTACAGAAGCTTTGCCTTTACCAAGTAACAACGGGATTCCAATTTAAATAGTATAGATTTTATTTCTTTTTTTAACTAGGATCAGTTCAAAATAAAATCAAACTAACAACAACAACAACCTAAGAAAAAGGATCCCAACCTCCTTTCTAATGCTGTCTTGACATCTCTTTGAGGCTGTTAGTAACACTGTGGTGAAAGGAAATGTCTTTCCATGGATTTTAAGTTGGAAGCTTTAGCAAAACAGAGAATGAGACTTCTGGGCTCACGTGTATGTCCAAGACACGGGGTCAGACACAAGGAAGGGCCTCTCTTGTGACCTTAAATAATCCAGTTGCCTCTCAATTCCTTGGGGAAAACACTGGGAGCATTTAGCTAGCACCTAATCTCTCTGCTTCCTTACCCCAGCCTGGGCTGGAAAGTGGAATTTCTCCAGAGAATGGAGAAAGAGCAGCATTGAAAGTTTAAATAACACCAAGTTTCTCTTAAGATACTTCAGAACGGACTTCAAGCTTGGACATGTGCCTTGATTTCTCCAACTGGCTCTTGTGCCTCGGTCTATCTGAAAGTGAACAGCAACTTCTCCACTGGGGAATGCCAGACCACACCAGTAAAAGAAGGAAATGCTGAAAAGAGCCTGAATGTCCTGGTTTTCCCTCTGTTTTCCACACCCAAGTTTGCTTTACTGAGCTTCCCTGCACACTGCTCTCTGCTGTGAGCATCTTTGAGGTGATCTGTTTCCAAGCAGAAAGAATTTTTTGAGGTAAACTCTCCAACAGAAGATTAAAAAAAAACAACAACAACAAAACAAAAAACCAAACAAAACCAACCAACGAACAAACAACTACGACAACAGAAATCAAACACGTGACAGGTTGATTAGACTAAGCAGCTTTGTAACTTCAGTGGGGTTTTTGGTGGCTTTATTTTTCCAAGTGTAAATTCTGTTTGTTTGGGGTTTTTTTAGACTTTTTTTTTTGACATCTTTCTACAAATTAATTTTTTTTGCTGTAAGACTGTGTCCCCTTGGGTGCTTCTCCAAGTGGAGAGAACTGAGCCACCCCAAATAAAACATGGTTGACAAGCTCTATTTTCAAAGCATTCTCCACAAAGTAGTTATTCCCAGTAAGACAACAAGATTTTTTTGGAGAAAGGGGCTTTGCACAGTCACAGAGGTGAGGAAAAACTGCAGGATTCCATGCACCAAACACTACCCTGAAATGGGAGCTGCACCAGGTGCAAAGCAGGAAAATTCAGACTGGGAATGAGCAGGAGGTGGAGGTCCACACCATGATATTGAGGTTCATGTGTTTCACCAATTTCCTGCTCCACAGCACACCAAGTTTGGATGGCAGGAGTTAGGACATCCCAAAACCTCCACCTGCCCTGGAGGACAACTCTCACTACTTATATTTTCATTTCTCCTCTTTTGGAAGATTCTCCCACATAGCAGTGTCTCTTCCCAAAGCACTTTGTTAAAGCCTTGGAGAAGGACAGATCTACATTCCATGTTTTGATTTAGTTCTGAACAATTGTCCTTCTGATATTGGCTGTGATGTGCTTGGGTTTTTACTTCACAGGCATCCCAGACTCCAGGAAATTCAGAGGGGACTCAACAGAAAGGCTGACCACTGACTGGACTCTTCACATTTGATCTATTGGCTTTCAACAGCACTATTAAAAATAATTACAATTATCTGATCTGCTTGGTCTCATTCCCTTCAAAACAAACATTTTCCTGTGGGTGAATGCACAAGATCGGCAAACTTTGGTAATATTTTTTCAATCTAAGCAATTACCAAATGAAATTCTACTGGTAAATTTTCTTCGTGACCCAATAAATTCTATGGTCTTTAGTGTCAAAGATGCAAGGTAAAACAAGTGCAGTGGTATTTTTACAAGGATGAAAATTGGCATAGCCCTCTTATCTAATGGAGCAAGGCTGGTATGTGCTGGCTTGGACCAAACCTTTGGATATGTTCAGGACAGGATGAAGAGTGGGAAGAGAAGGGCTGGAGGCATGGTTTAACATGCAGACTCTGTGATCTTTGAGATCTTTTCCAACCTAAATGATTCATGATTCTGTGCTAGGAGAGGAAGGTGGCTGAATTTCTCCTCGATGGTTCTCCTGTGCTGTCTGTTGGAGGGCAAACAATCTCCAACACCTCATTCCAGACATTTCCCCACACTGGTGTTCCCTGGAAGGCTCAGTCTCCACCAGCACATGACGTGATGGATCAGGTCTCAGATCACTGCCACTGATAGCTGAGTCCCACTCACAGGGAGGACATGAGGTGTTTGCAGAGGGGCTGTTCACACTTCATTCTTCTAACCCAATAGCAAAGCCCCAAAGCAAACCCTGAAGTGAAGAAATAATCTTGGCTCTCTCCATAGAACTTCAGAGAGTCTTCATGAGTTCCCTTTCTCCTGTTTCTGATGGTGCTGCAGGTGTCAGCATTAATTATTTGATTGCAGTGTTTGAGAAATGCCCGTAATGATCAGCCTATCATCTGGAATATTCTGTATATTTGAAGTCTGTCCATGGGCTTCGAGGAACTTTGGCTCCAGTTCTCTCCATGGGGTTTGAAAACCAGTGTGGGACACTCCTTAATTATCAGGAATTTTTGGTCAAGTGTTGAAAGGGAGGTGGGGGGAAAAGAAATCAAAGGAAAATAAAGCATCCGTGTTGTAGTAGGGCTCATTCTTCTGCTTGTGTCTTTGTTTTTAGTTGTATTTTACATGCACTTAAAAAATAGTTAGCTCAACAGGTGAGGCTGGGAATAAAGATGCCAAGACTTCTCATAGACTGGGGGATTCTGGGACACTGGTTGGAAATGGGAAGGACACTGAAGGGGACAGGGGAGGAAGCCCACACATTTACATCACAATTCTGGCACATTTTCCAAGCAAAAAAGCAAATCCAGCTCAAACACCAAAATAAAGAGAAACAGAAAGACAAAAGAATAAAGAGGAGATGAAAGAGAAGCAAAATGCAGATTTTCTTTCAAATCCTGGGCATGGGGGAAAGAAGAGGGTGGAGAGAAAGCAGAAATGCCTAAATGAGAAGTTGGAAAGGGTTAAGACACCAATCTCCTGGCACTTCCCATTTCCCCTAAGTGTTTCATTCTCAGTGTCTCTGAGGTGTTCAAGTTTTTCTCGAAAAATATATATATATAATATACAGATGAAAAACTCCGTACCAGCAAGAAGAAATAAAATAACAACCATGGAAAACAACCATAACAAACCAAAAACACAGCCCTGAAAACATCGAAAAGAAACAGGGTGAGTCTCAGATTTCCCCTGTGGTATTCCTCTGACTTCAGTAACAGTACAGCATCACACCAGTTCATTTTGATACTTTTTTTGTTTTTCTCTGTTAAACAGCTTCTTCTTCCTCTCATGTGCGCATGTCCAGGCAGGATTGCCCATCACTCATAACCACTTCCCTCCAAGCCAGCTCTCTGTCCTTAGACTCCTACCATCCAGCTGTGAGTACAAGGCATGACAATAGGGTCCATATTTATCTTTTGTGGCACTTTGTTTGTCAAAACCTTTGGTTTCTTCCTTTTTTTTTTTTTTAAGTTTTCCCTTTTTTTTTTTTTTTTTTTTTTTTTTTTTTTTTTTTTTTATTTTTTTTTTTTTTTTTTTTTTTTTTTTATTTTTTAAGTACTTATAAAAAATACTGTGTTTGTGTTGTTTGTTGTCATTTTCTTACCACTGGCTCTGGTGGGACTTCCCACTTTCACAGCCATAATCAGTGGATCTGGAACATGCGCCAACGTTAACGTTACTAAAATGGATCAACAAAACCATGGCAGAACCAACCAAACCCAAACCATCCCCAATGCGCAGGCCTCTTAAAACTGCTGAGATGTCCATAAGGTGCATGATGAGTCCATCAGCTCAGCAATCCAACAGAAAGCAAGCAGAACCAACAAAAAAAAGGAAGGAACGCACACGCGCACACAGATACACACGCACACGCACAAAATAATTGGAATTGCAATCAAGAGAGAAATGTCTGGGGGTTTAAAACCAAGACGTGTCCCTAAGTTTGCTGTTTCAACGTGAATCTGGTGATTTTCTCCCCACAGACACGTCCAGTTTTGGACTGCTGTTCTTTGAGTGGTTTTGGACTCACCTACGTGTGTATCTGCTTGGCTGAAGGAAAACCTCCCGCTGACTGACTCCTGCTTGCACCACATCATCCCTCACACCCGCTCGGGATCGGTCACTCCCAAGAGGTTCTGGTTTGATAGCAAGAGACAGGAACAAACCCAAACAAACTCGCTCTGTAATCAATTTACACACCCTGCCTGCACCCCTTCCTCCCTCCAGGTGCACAGCAGATCCAGGCTGTTGCTCCAAGGATGGGGTGAGGTGGACGTGGGCTGATTCTCCAACCTCACCTCCATCTGCCAGGGAGCTCTGCTCATGTCTGGGGAGATGAATGCTGACCCAGCTCTGCCTCCCTGGTGAACAAGGAAGGTTCTCCACACCCCGAGGGTCTCTAATCATGGTGTTATCCGGGCTGGCAGCCGTGTGAATGGAACAGCTGAAGGCAAAAGAGATGCAGGAGCTCACTCCCCTTTGGTTGGCCATGAAACAAGTTGAGATGTTCTGGAGAAGATGAGCAGAGGATGGGACAGGGACAGGGTGATCCCCCACAATTGTCCCATGGTGACAGCGATCCCTGAAGGGATAAGAAGTGCAAAGAGAGATAAAATCCTTCCTAGGCAGCAACTGTGCCTTCAGCAAGGCCTATTGGTTCCAGAAATGGAGGAGAGGAAAGGCCAGGAGTTGGCACCAAAAGGCAGATGGGCTCACAGCAGTTCAGAGACCTCCAGAAGACAGGCAGTTCATCTGGGGTGATCTAGGTAGAAGAATTTTTTGCAGTGTTTCATTTGGATTTCTTCCAAAATTTCCTTCCCAAAAAGTGTGGTGACATTTCCTCTTAGGAGTGACTTGGAAGGAAGGCTTTACCATCAGCCCCGTGCACCACCTCACTTCACAGCAAGCATTTCAGTAACCCACTGTGGGAAAACAACAGCTGTGTTCCAGCTGAGGAAACAAAATGGAAAGAACAGCTTAAAAAAAAAAAAAATCCTTCTGGTTCTTCTTTTGAGGCTGAGCTCATTGCCTGGAACAAACCGAGGCCTGTGGCTCCTGCTTTCCAAGCCAAGGTGGGAACAAGGGGGATGATGCTGTGCTCCCCATGGCCAGGAGGAGCAGAACCACCACCACAGACAGGATGCCACCGAGCAGAGAGAGCGTTTTGCTGCAGTGCTACGACCAACAAGACACGACGGGAAAGACAGAGGGGGACACGCAGCTCTTGGAAAAATAAGAAGAACCATATGAAACACATGGGCAGGGGAGCGTCGGTCTCCTCATCCCCTCTTGACCCTTTCCCTGCCACAGGAGAGCAGCTGTTTGCCCAGGCAGGATGAGCCACAGTGGTTCTGCTCTGGACGGAGCTGTGGCATTTTTCAGGGAGCCTCCTCTCCCAGTGGGTCGCTATCAAGAGATAGAATTGCAATGGCTCTGCTGGAGAGGAGCTGGATGGGCTCTGCCCTCCAGGAGCCCTGCAGGCAGGCTGCCTTCCCCTTGGGGACACTTGAGTAATACTGAGTTCATTTCCATGTCCTCTCCAGAAGCTACAGCCCTCGGAGGGCAGTTAAAGCAGCATGACAGAAGTTACCTCCCAGTTTCACCTCTGCAGAGTGAGGATGTGATGCTGGGGGAGGGTTGGTGGGGTTTTTGCGTGTGTTCAATAGTTTCTCTCTAGGGCAAAAGGCAGAGGGGAAGCTGTGAAAAGGAGAGCTCCACCCAAATGTCTTCATGGCCCCAGAGCCAAGATTCCTCTGCAGTCTTTTCTTTTAACCCCTGGGGCTCTGTCGCTTTGTCCATAGGTTTGGAAAGAGAAGGAAAAGAGAGAAAGAGAAGGGGGGGAGAGAGAGAGGAGCGCTGTTCGGGTGACTCTGCTTACAGCCCATCAAAACTTGCACTTGGTAAAGATGATGATCTTGAGTGAGGCACGACTTGGTTTATCCCTCCCAGGGTGTCCCTGGCAGGACAGTTCTCAGCTGTCTATGCTCATGAGGGTTATAACTTGTTCAAGTTTGTAGGCAAGTTTCTGTTTCCCAGCCTGGTCGTCTTGATCGAGGGCTCCGAGAATCTGGAAAAGGAGAGAGGAAGAAGTGATAGGGATTTCAGGTTCTTTCCCCAGAATGACTGAGTCCAGCATCTTAAAGCAGCAGAGGAGGGTGAGCTTTCTCTAAGGCAGCTCCCAGACTTAGCTTAGATCATGCAAGGCAAGTCAGTCAGCCAGGAGGGAGCTAGGCAGGGAGTTTGGGTTTGATCTGACTCAATGCAGACCTCTAGATTGAAACCAATTAAATTGATTTTTATCTTGGAGATCCAATATTTATTTATGAGCTTTATCCATCCTCTGGCCATGCCACTTGAGATGCCCTAAGGGGTCTCACATGGCCTTCAATATACACAGAACCGTGCTGGAAACCTTGAAGTCTATGTTGGAGTATTTTGGGGTGCTTTAGGATATCTGAAATGATGTTGGGCACAGTCCTTAAGCAACTTTTGGCCATTTTGGATGTAAAGCTCATGTAGGGCTCCTCTGCAGTGAGTTAACATCTGACCATCAACTACTTCACACCAGCTGAGCCTGACTGAACACGAGAGACACAAAACAGGGATCCAGAGAGGAGTACTGAGGAAACCCAAAAATCCCATACCTTCCCTTCCCAAACCCCAAGCCCCCATGTCTCTCATTCCTTAAATCCTTCACCCTCCCAGCCAGGATGCAGATGGGTATCAGTGACACTCCCTGGGTATGGATGGGCTGTCCCCTGGCCCCCCACAAGTGCCCCCAGGCTCTCACCTCCTCGCTGTACTTGCCCACGTAGGAGTAGATCTCGGAGAGTGCGCTCATGGTGTTGAACTCGTTCATGTGCATGCGGGACTGCTCAGCCAGGTAAGCATTCATGTCCTGGTCACTGATTGCTGGCATCTTGGCGATGTCTGAGTAGTACCTGAGGGGCACAGACACGGGGGTTTCTTGAGGGAAAGTGCAGGAGCTCAAGAAGTGAAATCCCCAAACAAAAAGAAGGAAAAAAACCCACGCTTAGTGTTGGGTTTTTCTGGTTTCTCAGTGAAATACCTGCCCATGCTCTTCTTCTACAGCAAGAAAGGTGACTTAGCTGTCAGAATCTGTCCTATGGATGATTCCGAGATTGTAGAAAGGCTCTGTCTGGCAGCCCCACTGCCAAAGCAGAAGTCAAAATTGGTCTGTGCTGGTTCCAAGGTTGTTTATTCTGTTTATCTCTCACATGTTCTGCTGCCCTGCCCAGCTCTGTCCTGCAGGGCAGTGTGTGGGGCTCTGCCCTCAGTGGGATGTTACAAACATTCAATACCAGAAACTCCCTGGGCTGGATTTACAAGAACGTGCCAATATCTGTCACCTACGTTGGACAGTGTGTCCCCAGCCTGAACCAACAGAAAAATGCCACAGTGAGACATGGAGGGCATGAAGAAGGAGAAAAAGGACAAGGCACACCCAATTTCCTCCATCTTGTCCCCTTTGGACCCCTCATCTAGAATCCTAAAATTTTACTTTTGCACCCGTGCGACACTTAATTATTACTTATATCAAACACTCAGAGCTTGTAATTGATCCTGTAAGATTGAAAACTCTTTTCCATGGGCAGAGATCACAGACAGTGTCTCTGGGGGCTCTGTCCAGGGGGGTTCCTGACCCTTGCCAGGGTCCCAGACCAGCTAGGGCAGCCAGAGGGAAGCCCTGAGTTCCCACACTTAGCCAAGGTGGAGATGACTGAGCACTCATCCTGAGCACCAGATGTGTCTTGTATTCACCCCAATCTGAGAATGACACCCCAAAGAGTATCCTGTAAACTTTCCCTGTGACGTCAACAGGAGCTGAATTGAAGCTGGATCACGTTGTCAGGCATTCAAGGGTTTTTAGCCCTGCCTCTCTTCCCAGAGAGACATTGCTACCCATTGACAGCTCAGGATTTCACTCCCATACACACAAAACCCCAAAATATTTGTGTTTTTCCTTGCACCATTCTCACCACTACATCTGCCCTCACTGCTAATCACCCAACTTCCACACTGAATCCAGTCTATCCCAACAACCCTCTTGCTCAGCATCTCCTTTTAACCTCATATTTTAAGCTGGCCTGATATTTATGGCAACAGTCTTCAACTCCAGTCTGACTGGGAAAAAATCTGCTTTTCCTAGGAGTCAACAGCATTCCCCTGGAGCTCAGGAGGACTGGGGGTTTATCCATAGGATCTAGATCCCCCAGAACCATTGCCCAGCAGGCTTCATCTTCAGAGTGATGTCTCTTTAAGGAAGTTGCTATTTTTGATGTCCTTCCTCCCCTGGGTAAGGCAGGTCTTGGAGGACAAGGTTTGCAGAAGGTAATCAGTCACTGTCACTCGCAGCTGTGCTCTGCTGTCAACTGGTTAATTAGACACCATCATTTACATTTTTAATTTCTGCAATTTGACATTTTGTGCACAAGAAAAAAAAAAAAAAAAAAATAAAAATAATAAAAAAAAAAAAAAAAAAAAAAAAAAGAAGAAGAAGGAAAAAATAAAAAAAGCCCATAGCTGCAGCAATCCACAATTTTATAATTAGGAGGCAGAGGGGACGGGGAGCCAAAAGAGCTGACAGGTGTCCTGTAAACAGCGTGGAGACACCTGCTGAGATGGAGGCTGCTTGCCACTGCAGAGAAATTGGACATTGAAATGCTGTGTGGTGAGGATGCTTGAGGTGGATGAGTGGGAAAATACTCTGTGACAGAGCAGGACGAGCAGCTGCTGGAGTGTCCTGTGGAAGACAGAGCAGTGCAAGAGCATGGGGGGAAACCCTTCCAAAACCCTTCCACAGCAGGAGGTTCCAGCTGTGCTCAGTCTGCTCTTGTGCCCTTCAACCCCACCCTGATTTACCCCAGTGAGTCAGTCTCTGTTGATAACCTGGTTTTGGTGGTGGGATGCTGATTTAATCCATGGCAGAGGGAGGCATAGGAGGCAGAGGTCCTTCTTGCTTGACATTTTCCAAAGCTAAACTCTGTTTCACCATAAAAACTTGTGTAAACCTCATTAATTTTACTGCAACTTCCAGCAGGCACAAAAACATCTCTCTCCCTGGAGCCCTGGCATTTTGTATTTTGGGCTTAGGACCAGCCAGAAATCTTAGTCTAATCACTCCCATGGTCTAAATATTTCTCATTTCCAGTGCTCCAGTGAAAAATGCTGTGGGTTTGATTTTCTTTACACTCTGCCTGACCCTCCATCCCCAGGTGGACCTGGACAGTTGTTTGTGAGTAAATCTGGAAATCCCAGGAGGCCGTGTCCTGCAGAACTGCCCCCAGGAGCAGATGGTGAACAGGAGGAATAAATATTTCTTAGACTTTTGCCACTCACAGAAGAACTTAAACAGGTCTTAGCATCACCTGCTGAAGAAGATCAGATTTATGCTGCACACAGGAATTGGTGGCATCCATAACACAGCTGAGAAAACAAGGAATCTTAGGGTTAAAAAGCAAGGTGTGCCTTGGCACTGGAAAAAAAAAAAGTCCATGTGCCACCAGCACAATTCACAGACTTATGAGTAAAACAGGCTGCAAAGCAGTGAAATACATTGATTTATGGCCCCTGAAAAGAGAGCAGCTCCTCATGAATGTTGGATAGGCACCCTCCTGATGGGTGAAATGAGCAGAGAAGGGGGCTCATCACAGCAAAAATAAATGGGGTTGGTGAAGGAAATCAGAGGTGCCAGTCTGGCTCTGACAAGAAGTTAAAATTCTCCTTTTCCTCTCTGGCTGAGCTGTCACCAAGTGGTGGCAAGATAGTGGGTGTAGGGACAGGGTGCTCCCAAAAACTGGAGCACAGACACAGTTATCAACCCCTTCTCCAAGTTTGTCCTGTTTCCTTTCCACCTGGTAGCAACAGACTCTTGAGTCTGTGAGTCACAAGGGTTTGAAAGCTCCCCATCCCTTTCCAGCCCTGCAGAGATCATTCTCCAGCAGAACAACACTCCCGTGACTCATCCAAACAAGGAAAAGCATCAGGAAATGTTCCCTGGAGCCAAGGATGGGATGCACAGATCAGAGTTTCAAGAATCACAGTTTCGGGGCTCTGGCCATGACAGACGCCCAGGATGTGATCTCAGTGTTCTGGGGTCACAGGCCATCACCCACCAAAGTATCCTGGTCTCCTCCAGACTCAATCCCTTGGCATCACACACCTAAACAGTCATTTCCCATTAAACCAAGGCATTTTGTGGCAAAAATAAAATAAAATAAAGATATATAGCAATACCCCAATCTAGATGAGTGAGAAGACATAATATCCTTCCATCCAAATTCTGCCATGGCCCAGTGACTTATTTATGCAGAAGAGTTTCTAATGAAGCCATCACTGTGCTCTCTAAAGAAATGATGAATGTGTGTATTAAAGCATCCTAGCAGGGAGATGACAACATCCCTGCTGAGTCTTTATTTACATTAGATTCCAACCCAGATCCTCAGAGGTACTTAGAGCCTCTCTGCCATTTGCATACCCCTAATGCAAAACCCACTGAGAAGCTGTCACCAAACCCCAGAGGCCCTTACATTTCCACTGCTGGAATTTGCAGGGCTGCCTGTGCTGCTGCCATCACCCCTGCAGCTGACAGCTCCCACACCAGAGCTGGGCTGGGAGGCAGTGCCAGGGGCAGTGAGGTGTTTTGTCACTTGTGGAGGGTCTCACCTGAGGCAGGGACAGGTCTTTGACCCACTTCCACAGCCAGCAGGAGGTTGGGAACACAACACTGAGCTGTATTTTCTCTGAATGAGACAGAAAGGTAGCAAAGCAAAGCAGTAAATGAAGTTTAATCTGCTCTCAAAGGGTCAAGAACAAGAATCCTGAGTAGATTTGCTGCTACTGCTGTACTCCAATTTACCTCATCTCCAGTGGATCCTTCCCCAGCTGTTTCCAGAAGATTCTCAGATGGAGATCAAAAGAACCAGCCTATATGTGTCTGAGTTTCCTCTTATTCACAGGAGCAGCCTCCATTCTTACCTCAAGGTAAGAGTAATCTTCTGATGTGACAAGAGGAAATTCGTTCATTAGACTTCACAACAATTACAATTATGAGGAACTGGGGTAAACCCATCATTCCAGCACTCCAGCTCAGCTGGAGGATGTGAGGAGAACCAGGCCATGGGATGGGTCCTCACAGATATCATGGGAACAGCAACTCACCCCAGCCTGCCTTGAATGGAGAGAGAGCTCAGGAGACCCTCCACTGCCGCTGATGGATCGAGAAGGATTTGGGATGTACCAGGATGCAGCTGGTACTCTTCTACTGAAAAAATAATTATTCTTGCTCCTTCCAACCTCATCTTTCCCTGGGTTGCATTTTGGTTTTTGTTTTGTTGTTTCATTCTGTTTTGTTTTGTTTTCCCAAGGAAAGCGACACAACAATGACCTGAGCATCCATCACAGTGACCTGGGAATACATTTTGTCCTCTGTTTATCCAGGGATAAATGTTTTTTCCCCTCGGTACCGACAGGGAAAGGCTCCTTAGTGGAGCTGTTTCACAAGAATGACTGTGCCTGCTGCCGCTCAGTAACTCATTAACTCATCAAAAGAGAAGAGAAAAGCCACGTTGCCAGCGCTTCCTCCCCAGCCCGAAATTTCCCAGCACAGGCCATGGTTTAGGCAGCTTAGCATGGAGCTAATTGCCTTCCAAAAGATCTTTTTGTCATGGCTGTTGTTTGTCGCTGGGATGGGACTGCACTCATTAATAATCGTTTTAGCATATGAAAAGCTTGTAACGAATCCATGTGCTGCAGACGGCAGACGCAATTACAGCAATAACATAATTAGGGTTATGCAATAGCCGGCTGTATCCAGACCACTGAAGGATGGAGAGGTGTATGAAAGGGATATGGGGGACTCTTCCAGCAGGGAAGGGCTGGTGGAAAGCTTGGGAACAACCAGTTCTTTTTTGGGAAGCAG